CCCGCGCACCGCCCGCGCAGCCCCGCCGAGCGGCGGAGCCTCCGCTCCGGGAGACTGAGCTGCCCGGGGATGTCTTCTCGGGATAAGGAGGGGTGGGGATTTCCCCCCTTTTTCCCTCCCCTCTCCTTTCCTCCCCCCGGTTTAGCTTGTGGTTGCCTCCGTGGGGCTGCTCGGTAGGGTCGCGGGCAAGGAGCGGAGCAGAGCAGACCGGCCCCGGTCACCACCTCAGAAAACTTCTTTCTGCTTTTTGTCTTCGCTCCTAGGGAGGCTCAGAAGTCGAGTCTTCCAGCACGGCAGGTTCAGCGTGGCTTAAATGAACTCTCTCGGAAAGGCAGAAGTAATTAAGTGCCTGCGTAAATCCACCTCAACAGGTAGCCGGCAGCAAGAGCTAGTCTGGACTATATGCCGCCTGTGCTCGCTTTTCTCACCTCGTTCATAGGCTTTCATTAATCATCACGTAATATGCAGTAGCTCACAGGACAAAAGGTGGCAGGCGTTGTTACTCTTAAAAAAAAAAAGAAAGCCTGGCCGCTTTTCAGTCTCACGTCACGGAGCCCGTGTACCCGGGTGCATCCCCGCTGGGGGCCGCAATGAGAGAGCCTCTGAAAAGTCAGGCTTTTCAGAACAGGACGAAATATAAAACTTCCTCCAGAATGCGGATGCAAGTCCGTGTAATATTCGCACAGATTCAGATAGCCAGTGAACGAAAGAGATTTGCCTGAGGGTTCTTAAACATTTGTTTCAAATTGCCAGTTTCGAATGGCTGACAGTGCTTTATCTTCTCTTCTCTGGGGATGTCGGCTGCCAGCGGTTAAACCCCCCGTGAGTCAGAGCGCACAGAGATGGGCACTCGGGGAGAGGGACAGGCTGGGGCAGAGGCGGCTTTTCCAGGCAGACCCCTCAAGAGCTCGGTGCTACCTGGCAGCCCCTTTCCTCTGGGAGCAGCAGGGACAAACAGAGCTACATGTGCTGTTGAAGGCAAGGAGCTTTTGCTCCCTTATTTTACAGTCCACAATTTGTTTTTCTACCTTTCCTTTTGCTACTTATGTTGAGGCATCTCAGCAGCTGACCGCAGAGCTATTGACTGCTGCAGATCTAGATTTTAATTAAACTTATGTATGGTCTGGTCCATTATGTCCAAAGGAACACATAATGGGAGGGCACAATTCAGTTTCTATAGATCTGAGAAACTTTTATTTGGATTGAACTGTTTTCTAGGTCTGTTGTAACTCAGTTTAGAAGTTACAAACATATTAAGCAAAAATAAACTAGTAAGGATTCCTAAAAGACACGTGGGTTTTTTCTTATGTGCATACCTTATCATTTTGCTGATGTGTTTGATTACCATGCAAACCCCCTAGTCTCTGATTCTGTAAGGAATTTGAGAATAGACCCTGTTAAACATTTCTAGAATGTATCAGATATTGTGGACTTTTTGGAAGTGCTTTAAGTATATTGTGAAAATGAATAGAAGTCTCTATAGATTTCCTTAGGCTGATGACTGCTTGCCATATGAATTCCTTCATATGGTAAGGTACAAGAAATATTTTTGAACACCACTGATATTTTGCTCTTGAATCATGTCTCATTGCCAGATATCACTCTTTTCTGGGATGTCAGGAGAGCAACCCTAGCCTTGCTGAAGTTAATGATAACATTGCATGGATCACAACTCTCTGTCTGAAATGCTCTGTTAGGCCTCATCGTTCATGCTTCTGTTTTCTTAAGAAATATTATCTTTTGAACAGTATAGCCTGAAAGGTACCAAAAATATATTAGGCTGTTTTACAGACAAGTAAGCAAGAAACGCTGGTATGGAAACACAACCAGTTTTAAAGGAAAGCAACCTGAAAATCACATTAGCAATCTGGATGGGAATGTTGACTCTATTAGTTTCCTTAGATGTTTAATTGACAGTTTTGCAGTTCAGGCTTTGCTTTTCTGTTATGTATATAATGTAGAGTTCTTAGAAGACTGCCCCTGAGCATTAGGGGAAAGAAAACAGAGAACACAACTATACTGTAGCTTTTCTGTCAGACCTACAGGCTTCAACTTTTACATAAGTGAAGGAAAGTTCCCACACTGACAGCCCTCATGATTTCTGTTAAGATTGCTGTAAGCAAACAGGTGTTGACATTTTAATGCACTGTTCTTGTTAGCTAGACTGAGTAAAATTTTCATGCAGTAGGAAGTTCCAATGGAAAAGTTGTTATGAATTCAGTACAAATAATTATATAATTAAATACACAATTACTTGACAAAGTAGGAGGAAAAAGATGAGTAAAAAATTTACATCACACCTTAGGAAAATAAATTTGATATCTTTGCCAAGAAATCTCTTAAGCACGTGTCTCATCTATTTCCTTGAATCTAGTTTTTTTTGAATCTAGTCCCAAATACCTTTTGACATGAAAATATCTATTTTTTTCAAAACTAAAATGGCCTATGAACTCCAGAAAGAGCAGGAAATTAAATGCAATCTTCTTCTGTTTGTGGCCAGGATCCACAGTTGTCTTTATCAGATGTTATTACTCACCTCTAACAAATAATTTCGTCTCCATAATTTTCCATAGCAATCAATGGGAAAAGTAATAGAAGAAATCTATAAAGGAGATGGGAACCTAAGTACACTGTTAAGTCTAGACCTTCATGTCTGTTCCTCAGTGGCTTAATCTGGAAGATACTGCTTAGAGAAAACATCACAAGGATGTCCTTCCTTTTGCTCACTCAGTGGTTGGATACCTTGGTTTATATACGGTTCTAATAATAAAAATATTTTACTCACAGTGGTACTTTTTTTTTTTTTTTTTTTTTTTTTTTTTTTTTCATGAAAGAGAAATCATTTAACAATCCAATAAACTGATTTAAAATATTCATTACTACTAAAGTCTTTGTTACTATGTAATGTGTATATAATGAACATATAATCAAAGTAATGTCAGGAAAATGCCTTTATATTTGAAAATGAGCATTTACTTAGCACGTCAGAAACAGTACACAATGCATGTGTTAATACAAATTTGCTACATTTCCTAGTTACAGTCCTACTTTTCATTTTCAGGAAATTAGGAAAAAAATTGCATAAGCGATGCACAAAAATCAGAGTCTGACTATACAAATATACACATAAGTATATGTCTTTATACATTGTATCATTCTAGAGGAATACAATGTGTATAATACAATTTACAACTTCTTCAGAGAAGAACCCAGTATAAATCCCTTTGGGTTTTTTTACCTCTAGTGAAGATGAAGCTGGATTTGAGGTTCAAGCCTCTAAACTGCACCCGGGTGTCAGTACAGAGAAACAATTTAAAGTGTACTTACATTAAAGCATATGAGTAGCCCTGAAAATTTTAGAAATCTTTTGACAAGTCAGCCCTTAGTTGATTGACCAGTTTTGTTGGCTGCAAAAGTATTTTCCAGATTTGGTCATGTTTTGTTTATAAAACACAAAGTTGAAAATAGGCTTACTGGGAACACTGACTCTATTTATTTGTGAAACAATACCAAGCACAGTAGTCCCATCAACCATATCCCATTATTTTTCTTTAACAACAGGTTCCTGGAGTAGAAATTTACATTCTGAAGGCAGATGTGAACTTTAAATATCATTCAAAAGCCAAAGAAACATGTTCATGATTCATAACCCACCTTTGATTCACCTTCTATAACGTTATTATGGAAAAGTCAAGTATCTCCAAGCATTAACTCCCCTCCTATCTATATTGTTGGGAATAGGATAACCCTGAGGTCACAGTTGTCACTACATTCAGCTTTCCATGATGGAGAGGTGTCACTAATTGAAATTTATTGCTCCTTATTGACATTTAGAAAGAAGTAAACATCTGCTCCTACTCATTTGAGAGCCACTGCCATTCCACCACAGTTTGTGCTGATTTTTTTTTCTCCTAGTTCTCTATTCCAGTTCTTAAGAATCATTTTTAAAATAGCCTTTAAAATGCAGGCAAACAAAAGCAGAGACCTAAATTTGAAGCTATGGTTTCCAAAATCCCTTCTGTATTTTGTATTACAATTTACTCCTTTACATAGTATTCTAAATATCTGACTTAAAAATTATATATGAAAACATGTACCTATACTTTATTCAATATCCAGCAATTTTCTCTGTAAAAATGACAAAAGCCAATCACCATGGTCTAGCAACATGCTCTTGCTTTATAGTTGTTGATAAGGGTTGCTTTTTTCACTTTCCTTGATTTGTGACAGTGACCCCCTGGGATGTTTTTTTAATGTTGTCTGCAGAAGCTACTTGCCTGTGCATAAAAACACAACTGTGTTTTATTTAAACAGAGAACATCAATACGTGATATTCCTTGACGTAACAGAATCAAGAGTATTTTGATGAATGCTTGTAATACAACACAGAACAATAGAGCAAGTCTTATAAAACTCAGGAGAGTGCAGCAGGCATCCAGGTCATGGACACAGTGTCTGCAGAAGTCATTTAAATGGACAATCTACCTTCAAGCAGCTTCATAAAATGGACATCTGATTGGCTTGAAGTAGTAGGGCAAGAATAGAAAGGGTTAAGTTCTGAAAAATGAACTTCATGTTTCTATATAGGAAAAAACAGAAACACAAGCTGTCATGGTTTAAACCTGGCTGGCAGCCAAACACCACCCATCCTCCCCTTGCCCAAGGAAGACTCATAGGTTGAGATAAAACCAGTTTAATAATTGTAATAAAATAGTAATAAAATAAGACAATAACAATACTATAAAGTAATGCACAATGCAATTGCTCACCACCCACTGCCGACGGATACCCAGCCTGTTCCTGATTAGTGATCCTGAAATACCAAGAGCCCGCAGTCACAATCATAGAAGTGAGAGAGAACCTTCCCTCCTTCCGGCCAACCCTCCTTTATATGCGGAGCATGACATTACATGATATGGAATATTCCACTGGCCAGTCTGG